GTCTAGGGATTTAAGCCTCAAACCCCATAGGGTTATAAGGTGTTATCGTGTAGGTAGCTAAACCTGCAAACTTGATAGGGTTCAATGGTTCAGAAACCCAAGGTCTGGGCATGTATACCTTCAGCGTTAATCAAGACACAGGCAGAAGATTCATGGAGGACTTACCTTCACAATCAATGGCTCTTTTAAGCCCGTACAAAAATTCCATTAGTGAATCCAGTCTTTTCATATTATGCAAAAGGACATCGTTTATTGGTACTTCCAAACGCACCTATTTTACTTTATTTAACGAGCCTCTAACTTCATTGTAGTGTACTTTTCTTTTTCTTAATTCACCCCTTAGACATGAACTCGATACTATTTGCAGGTTGGGTTTAGTTTGAATTGCCCGGCTTAGCTTTAAATGCCTACATCCTAAACCCTAAACCTGTCAACCTTAACCCGGTAGGGCTTAAAGGTTAAGGCTTAATCATACAGGGTCTCGGGGCTCTCTTTAAAACCCTAACCCCTTGACCGATAGGGTATAAGAGAATAGGCCTGCAAACAATAACATGGAGCTCAGCGGAGCGGGGGGAAGGTAGGGCAGGAAGGGCGAGGGGGTCGGGTGGGTCGAGGGTGTTCAGGGGTCCTGGCGCTGTGTTGGAGAACCCGCCCCCCCCCAACCCCCCGTTTATAAGCAAACTTGATGCTTATAAACAATGTAAGCAAACTTGATGCTGATAAACAACATGTTGTGTGACAAAAACTCTTTCCAATCAAGATTGAATACCCAAATTGCCAACTCATACATAGAAGATTGATACGCGGATTACCAACTCATACATATAACAAATGCCTAAACCTTAAACCCTTAAGGTTTAAACTGTATGGGCTTAGGTTACAATGCCTAAATCTTAAAGCCTGAACTTTAAAAAAAACCTAACCCCATAGGGTTTAAAGGTTAAGGGACTTAAGACTACAAGCATTCGGACGCGTATCTTGAGGGGGGGAATTCTCAAGAATTTTTGTTTCCCAAAATTCTTAAGAATTCGTACACGAATTCTTCAGAATTCTTAAGACTTCAGCATGAAAATGGAAGATTCAAGGTGTTTGGGAGTCTCTTATCCAGGCATCTTCAATTCTCAGCGTTTACTTCCGAGAATTCTTGAGTTTTTGAGTCTTAAGAGTTTTTAAGAATTTAAGACTGAAACATTGAAGATTGAAGATTGAAGATTGAGGATTTCTGGGAGACTCATATCCAGGAATCTTCAATTCGGAGTGTCTATTTCCCAGAATTCTCAAGAAGTCCTAAGAAGTCTTAAGAAGTCTGAAGAAGGCTTAAGAGTTCTTAAGGCGTAAGACCGAAAATTGAAGATTGAAGATTCCTGGAAGGCTCCTACCCAGGAATCTGCAATTCTCAGTACTTTCTTCCCAGACTTCTTAAGAATTCTTAAGAATTCTTAAGACTTAGACCGGAAATTTAAGATTGAAGATTGAAGATTCTTGGGAGACTCATATCCAGGAATCTTCAATTCTCACTGTTTACTTACCAGAATTCTTCAGAAGTCTTAAGAATTCTTAAAACTTAAGACCTTGAAGCTTTCTGCATCTAAGAGTAAAACTGAAGATTCCTGGGCAAGAGTATCCCGGAAATCTTGAATTCCATCTCCAATTTTCAGTCTTAAGCCTGAAGAGTTCTTAAGGCTTCTTAAGACTTCTTAAGATTTTCTGGGAAAGGAAAAGTAAGAATGGAAGATTCCTGGGCAGGACTATCCCAGCAATCTTCAATCTTCAATTTCAGTCTTAAGTCTTAAGCCTTCTTAAGATTTCTTAAGATTTCTGGGAAAGGAAAAGTAAGAATGGAAGATTCGTGGGCAGGAGTATGCCAGGAATCTTCAATCTTCAATTTGCAGTCTTAAGACTTCTTAAGAATCGTATATATACATATATATGTGTATACACTATACAGTACACTATAGTCTTGTCTATACTATAGTGTACAGTATAGACTGCAGTATTGTATAGCGTATCGTATGCAGCATTGCTTAAAGTTTGTAATATATACAGCCTAGAAAGTATTTATAGCATATATGAAAAAGCAGCCTTCTGGTCTGTGTAGCTCACGTGTTTCGTTACATGCTGAAGGGCAAGGTGTTGTGAATCGCATGACCATCCCCAGTCTGCTGCCACAGGGCTCCTTTTTGACATAGCTCGGGCGTCTACTACTTCGCAGTGACACGACCATGGTATCGTTTCAAAGCAAAACCTTTTGCGTTCGCTAGTTATTACTTTTCCGACGTGCAATGTCATCTATCATTTTCTAAGAGAGCGGCGAATTGATAAGCAACTGTAGTCTTCAACAACACAGTTTTGTTGTTTTGGTTAGTCTCCTGGCTGCCATGGCATGTGTCAAGACCTACGCAAAACTCCTATGCTCTTACGCCAAAATCAGGCGCGAAGTGCAAACGTGCCGCCATCAAAAAGTCAGCAAGCGGACATTGGTAAAACGCCTGATGAGACGATGTTCGGGTCTAGATTTGTTATATTGTGGCATATTGTCCGGAAACTTCAAAAGCCCAGATATCAGATTGGAGCAAAGAAGTGGGGTAACGCGAAAAAAAGCCGACAACCTCATGCTTCGGCTGATTGTTCAACGCTGCGGCTCTGTCAAGAAATCGGTACCTGCCAGCATTCAAAAGTTGTTGCGAGAATCGTTCAAAGCCCACATAATATGTTTGACGAGCAAGCGCTATGCTTCGCATGCTGGTGCTCATCTTCCTCGTGAGCCAGTGCCCAACGACGCAATGGTTTACCATGTCTATGGGTACAACTGCACCAACAAGCAGAAAAAACACAGCCGCTTCATCAGAGAATTTCGCAACTGGAGAGAATTGCCACGTCTCTGCTACAAGCGCAAGCTGTCTGACAATATGCTCCGTGAACGCACCAGTGCGGGAGCGTTTGCTCGCTTGCAAATTCTGTCAGATGCAGTGGAAGTGGTGGGCGAGGGTTTTGGTCGACATCCCACCTGGTTTTGGAAATGGTGCTCGTTTCGACGGGGATCCTCTTGGTGAAGACGCACTTAGGAACCTCCGGAAAAAACTCAACGGCAGTGGATATTTTCGGGAGATTTTCGGTGGGTCCATTACATTGTTCCAGACAGCTCATTTGGTATGCGAGTGTCGCCAGTACACTTTTGCACGTTTCCGAAACGCTCGTCTACGGGACTTCTTTGCGACTTGCCAAAAGCCATTCTCAAAGAGAGCGACGAGAGAACAAGTTGAGGAACGTAGGAAAGATTGCGAAAGCGTATCTGACTTTGCTCTTTGACCGCGCAAAAAGGAAACCTGCTGATTAGTTTACAGGTTTAAGGGTTCGATGTTGCTGTGAGCATTCTTGCCAATGTACTGCAATTTTATTTGGTGATAGTTTAGTCAAAAATTGTCAAATTGGGAGGGGGGGGATTGGATAGGTTAAACATATTCAGAACATCAGTAATACTCGATTTCGAAGGTTCCAAACAACACATCATGTTTTTTGGTTATATTAACAGAACCACGAATGTTTCTCGCGCCAGGACGAGTACCAATGTTGCCAACATTGCCAATATTACTCACATTAGTCATATTGCTAATTCGTTTAATGTTGTAATACTGGTAATATGCTCATGATGTTTTTTAGTAGTGCTTCCAATACTGTGAATACCAATAGTCATAACATTGCCATCGCGCCAACATGATGCAGCTCACAAACACTAATACGTAAACAAGCAGCAGATGGAACAATTAAAGCTGTAGAAAGTAATCAATCATTACATTTAAGTTGTACAACACAGGTGCGGAGGGTTGATCATATTGCTGCTGCTAAATGCATGAATGGGTTGGATGTGTGATTTCTATAACAACGCAAACATCATTCGCAATTGTACCCACACACACACAAAGCGAAGTTGACTCGAACGCCCACAGACAAAGCGAAGCTTACTCGGAAGCCAACCCACGCTTGAAAGTAGAACGTATGGACAAAAACATCAATGGGAACATTGATCACAAAACAGACGCACACAAACAGAAGTTTGACAGTTCAAGTGTAGGGAGTAGTTTCTGCGAACAGATTGTACTTGCAAGCGCACGAAGCAACCAGCCCACAAAAATGTCAATGCTGACAATGACACAAAACAAGCACACACAAGCAATTTTGACAGTTCAACTGTAGGGATTCGTTCGTGCGAACAGATTGTCCTCGCAAGTGCATGACAATCCAAAAGCACAAGCAACCAGCCCACGCAAAAACTTTATGCGAACATAAAACTGATATGACATAAGCTTGGAAGTCGTAGGTGCATACCATTACAGATGTAATTTTATTTATATTTGTATTTAGACTAGGTCTTTTAAGTAGTAAAGCAAGGCACAAGACAAAATAGACCCTAAAGGTTGCGGGCTCATATATATATATATATATATATATCGCTGAAACCCAGAAAGTTCCCTTCTGGGACTCAAGTCTCGAAACGAAAGCTCGGCCATTTTCTTGGCCGAGGTCTTGTGTCAGGCTGCCAGTTCAGGGCTTGTGTGCCGTGGGTTTCAAGAGTGAGGTGCGGGTTGGGCTTAGGGTTAAATGGGTTTAAGGGTGCAGCGTCGGAGCCATGCTGTTGCAGGGCGACTGGAAGGGGCAGATCTCCGAACCCAAGCTTGTTGGTGCCATCTATAACAAGGGCCGCAACCTTTCAAGGTTTGGGGTTTAGAGTTGGGATTTTCCCTTTACACTAACACTCCTTAGAGGATGATAATCGGGGTACTATAATCCCTATGAAGGACTGTTCGTATTCAGGGGGAACATCCCAAGTTTAGGGTTTGGAAGTCTTCACCTAGGCTTGTTTTATCTTACTGTTGCTTGGTAGGGAATGAGGGAATGAGGTACCCTTTCTCATCTCTTAAAGGGTATAGATATAGGGTGCCTCATTCCCTCATTCCCTACTAAGTTGTTTTTGTTGGTGTGCATTTTTCCACCCCTTGGAGGCTCCCATAGTGGAGAAGGAAGGAGACAAAGCAGAGGGCGGCGCGGCCGAGAGTGCGCCGCAGGCGGCCGCTATAGGGTTTTGGGTTCAGGGGTTTAGGGTTTATTGGGTTTAGGGTTTAGGGTTTGGGGGTCTGACAGTTTTTTTTTTTTTTTTTTTTTTTTTTTGGGGGGGGGGGGTTGGAGACTTTAGTTTGGGGTTTGGGGTTTCGGACCCAGTTTAGGGTTGCTAGAGTCGTGATCGCCGTTTTGCCGGCGGGTTCTGACCCCCAAACCGTGAATCCCAAACCCTACGGTGACGTTTTTTAAATAAGTGGAGGGCGGCCAACCAGCAACGGCCAGGGGGGTAGTATAAAAGACCAGTTTAAATCCGCATGTTTTCGTGTTTATGCCCCTCCAGCCAAACCCAACCCTTCCTCCACCTCCAGGCTCCACAAACCCCCTCTCCAGCCCCTTCAGCCAAGCCCCCTCCAGCCAACACCCCACCCCCTCCAAGCCCCCCTCCACTTGCCCCTCCCGCCAACACCCTCAAACCGCCCTCTCTCAGCCAACCCCCCCTCCAGCCAAGCCCGTCTCTCCAGCCAACACCCCCCCCTCCGCCAGCCACCCCCCCCCCCCCAGCCAAACCCACCCTTCCACCAAACCCCCCTCCAGCACCCCTCCCCACCTTCCTCACCTTCCTCTCCCCAGCCAACCCCCTCGCCAACAACCGCCAACCCCCTCCAACCAAACCCCTCCAGCACCCCTCCCCCTCCAGCCAACCCCCCCTCCCACCCCCTCCAGCACCCCTCCAGCCAACACCCCCCCCCTCCAGCCAACCCCCCTCCAGCCAAACCCCACCCTTCCTGTTCTGGTGTTTTCGGGCTTGGGGTTCTGGAAAGTTTATGCAATTCAGTGTTTTTAATTCAGTGTTGAATATTCTTAAGGGCCTTCCTGGAGGGTGGCTTGGCTGGAGGGGTTTGGCTGGTGGGGGTGGTTGGTGGCGGGGGTTTTGGCTGCCAGGTTTGTGTTGGCTGGGAGGGCGGCTTGGCTGCACAATTTGGAGGGGGTGTTGGCGCTGCAAGGGTGTTTTTCTGGGGGCGGTGGGTTTGGAGTTGGGGTGTTGGCTGGAGGCGGTTGGCTGGAGGGGGTTGGCTGGTGGAAACCGGCTGGGGTTTGGAGGGGTGCTGGGTGGAGGTTGGCTGGCTGGAGGGGGGGTGTTGGCTGGAGGGGGCTTTGGCTGGAGGGTGTTTTGGGGGGGTGTTGGCTGGATGGGGGCGGTGGGCTGTGGAGGGGGGCTTGGCTAGGGGGTGTTTGGGGGGGGGCTGGGGGGGGGGGGTGGTTGGCTGAGGAGGGGGTTGGCTGGAGGGGGTGGAGGGGTGCTGGAGGGGGGGTTGGGGTGGGTTGGCTGGAGGGCGGCTTTGGCTGGAGGGAGGTTGGCTGGTGGCAACCGGCTGGGGTTGGAGGGGGCTGGGTGGAGGTGTGGCTGGCTGGAGGGGGGGTGTTGGCTGGAGGGGGCTTTGGCTGGAGGGTGTTTTGGGGGGTGTTGGCTGGATGGGGGCGGTGGCTGTGGAGGGGGGGGGCTGGCTAGGCGTTTTGGGGGGGGGGGGCTGGGGGGGGAGGGGGTGTTGGCTGGAGGCAGTTGGCTGGAGGGGGTTAGCTGGTGCTGGGTGGAGGTTGGCTGGCTGGAGGGGGGTGTTGGCTGGAGGGGGCTTTGGCTGGATGGGGGCGGTTGGCTGTGGAGGGGGGCTTGGCTAGGCGGGTGTTTTGGGGGGGGCTGGGGGGGGGAGGGGGTGTTGGCTGGAGGATGTGGGGTTTGGCTGGAGGGGTTGGCTGGAGGGGTGGTTAGGGTGTTTGGCTGGGGGCTGGAGAGAGGGCGGTTTGAGGGTGTTGGCTGGAGGGGGTTTGGGTGATTGTGAGGTTGGTGGGGGGGGGGGGTGTTGGCTGGAGGGGGGCTGGGCGCGGGAAGGCTTGCTGGAGGGTCTATTTCCGGATGTTTAAAACGCTGGGCGGCCTGACGCCGCGCTCCACGGAGGTAGTATGAAATACCTGTTTGACTGTTTAGATGTCCGGGTATTTAAAAACAGGCACCGTAAGACGGCGCTGGGGGTGTCAGGGCCTCACGACTTTCCAGCTACGCCAGCTCGCTGATTTCAGGCGCCCAGCTGCCAGGAACCTACTTACCGAAAAACCCGAAAAACGCCGTAGACTCCAAACTTCTCAGCCCTCCAGCCTGAAGCCCCAAACCCTAACTAAACCCTAAACCGCAAAATCCTAGTCCCTAAACTCTAAAGCCCCAAGCCCGAAACCCTGAACTGAAATTATTTGGGGGGCTTACGAAGATGAGGGACCTTTAATATAGACTCCCAAATAGTAGGATCCCCTTACAACAAGGACCCCAAAACAGTACCCCCCCCCCTATTTTCGGAAACCACCATTTGGGGCGGTGCTTGCTTGCTTCTTCAGGCCAAGGCAAAGGGCAAAGGTCCACCAGGGCCGGCTCCCCAGGAAGTTGCGGGAGTGTTTTTGAGTTGTTTTTTCGGGATTGGGGGGGGATAGGACTCCGGGGTTTAGGGTTTAGGGTTTAGGGTTTAGGGTTTAGGGTTTAGGGTTTAGGGTTTAGGGTTTAGGGTCCCTTTTTGGGCAACCATTATAAGGCGGCACCCTTCAAAAGGGATCCCAAAAGGGACCCTAGTTTAGAGGACTACCCATGTGCTTAAGGCTTAATAATAACCCCCCCAGGAACACAATAGATTCTTCCTTATAAGCGCGATATAGGGATTACTATTTTATGTTTAAATTTTTGTTTATTATATATCTATATATATATATATATCTATCTAAACATATATATATATATATTAAAAAAATTGAGAGGGGTTCTTAAGCAAATATATATATATATATATATATATAGTGGTTGATCATGTAGAAGTTAAACGGCAGAGCCCATGTTTGTACAAGTCGGCATGGGCTTTAAAGCAGAGGTCGGGGAGGGGAGGGGGGGGTGGGGTGGCGCAGGGGTTTAGGGTTTTTAGGGTTTTAGGGGTAGGGGTGGGACTAATTTCTAGTAGTGTTCCCTTAGGGTCCCTATATAAGTATGCTATGATATCCCCCCCAGACCCTATTCTAACATGTAAGTTCCGGCTTGTTTGTGCTGCAGGGGGACCTTAGTTCGAGAATCCCTTGTCCGAGGGCTTCCGGGGACCTAAATGCGTTGGCAGAAGAAACCCCGTCAGACCTCAGAAGCTACACCCTAAACTCTGAATGCCCTAATCAAGCCTCTGTGCCCAAAATCCGACCAGCCCTAAACCCAATGAGCCCCAAACCCTCGTAAGTAAGCCAAGAGGCCCAAGAAACCTAAGCCCTGTAAACCCTAAACCCTCAACCTCAAACCCTAAACCCTAAACCTTACATGAACCCTAAACCCTCGACGCGAAACCCTAAACCCTGTGAACTATGAAACCCTCAACCCCAAACCCCAAACCCTATCAAGCAAAAAAAATCTTAAACCCCTCAGAGGCCCGGCGGAAAGGGGAAGAAAGGGCCTCCACCTCCAGGCCCGACATGCAAGAGGGTTTACGGTTTAGGGTTTTGGGTTCATAGGTAGGGTTTAGGGTTTAGGGTTTAACCCACGTTCTTGAGGGTTGAGGGCGTGGGAGTTGGGGTTTAGGGTTGAGGGTCTAGGGAGTCTAGGGGTTTAGGGTTGTGAGTCATCATAGGATGCTTTGGGGGTTTCAGGCCGTGAGGAGTTTAGGGCTTTGGGAGCTGCAGGGTGGCCTAAACCCTTTAAATCCTCAACCCTAGAAGCCCGTAAACCCCTAAACCTGAAGCCCTAAACTTTAAGCTCCGAACTCTGAGCCCTAAGCTTTAAGCCCTGAACTCTGAGCCCTAAACTCGAAGCCCGAAGTTTCATTTTTTATTTTTTAACCCTAAGCCCTAAACCCTAGACCCTAAACCCTCAAACCTTCTCCAAAGCTCCCCATCAGGCGCTGCCGCTGCTGCGGCAGAGGAGGCGCCAAAGGACGAAGCCAAAGAGGCCGCGGGCGAAGGCACCGAAGCCAAGGCGCAGAAGGGTTTCAGGGTTCAGGGTGTTGGGGTTTTTTTGAGAGTGCAGGGTTCAGGGTTCAGGTTTTTTTTTTTGGGGGGGGGGGGGGGGGGGTTTGGCGGTTCAGATTTTAGGGTTTTTGGGGTTTGGGGGGCTCAGGGTTCAGGGTTTTGGCGCTCTGGGGGGTTCGGGGTGTTGGGGTTCAGGGGTTTTGGGGGTTTTGGGGATTCAGGGTTCAGGGTTTAGGTTCAGGGTTTAGGAACCCTAAGTTGACTTAGAATCAAACCACCAGCGCTACGAACCCTCAACCTTAAGCCACCCAAACCCTAAACCCTGCACCCCTAAACCCGGCACCCCTAAACCCCAAACCCCAAACCCTACACCCTAAACCCTAGACCCTAAACCCTAAACCCTAAACCCTAAACCCTAAACCCTAAACCCTAACCACCCCCCCCCCCCCCAGCCCCCCCCCCCCCCCCCAGCACCCCCGACACAGACGCAGGACCCGGCGGCCGAGGCCGCGACGGGCGAGGCCCCGGCAGAGGCGCCGGCGCCGAAGGCAGGAAAGGCCAAGGCCGGTCAGGGTTTGGGGTTTAAGGTTTCGGGGTCAGGGTTTAGGGTTTAGGGTTTAGGGTTTTAAAGTTTAGGGTTTAGGGTTTAGGGCTTAGGGTTTACAGCGTTTACGGTTTAGGTGTTAGGGCTTAGGGAGCGTTTAGAGTTTAGGGCTTATCATAATTATCGGTTTGTTCTGGTCGTGTTTGGATTATTATTCTTGCTATCATTTCCCTTTCGCTTTTGATTATTCATTTCTTTGACGGTTTTACTTCTGCATATAGTTCCTTCGCTTGGTGGGGGGGGGGGGGGGTCTGGAGTTCTGGGTTACGGGTTAAGGGTTTAAGCTTGAACCGTTGAACCCTTTTCTTCCTGGACTTCACGGCGGCACGTGCCGGGTTTAGGGGTCTAGTGCACCCCCCCCCCCCCAATAGTTTCAAGGAATCCTCCTGAAATCATACAAAAAAAGCTCCCTGGTAGATTTCACGTGCTGGTCCTCCAAGTTGCATCTGCAATTGTTCAGGTTTCAGGGTTTAGGGTTCGGGGGTTTGCGTTTTGGGGGTCTGAGGGCAACTCGGCAGCCCATAACCCAGGGTTTAGGGTTTAGGGTTCAGGGTTTAGGGTTTAGGGTTTAGGGTTTAGGGTTTCGGACCCAACGTCCCGAAACCAGCCGATCACATGTTGCAGGGGAAGGGGCCACCGCCACCTGGAGGATTCCCGGCGGTTCAGAGTTTAGGGTTTAGGGTTTAGGGTTACTACTGTATAAACCATATGAACCCTATAAGCCCGACAGAGAAACTTTATAAACCCTAAAACCTGTAACCTGGGGGGGGGGGGGGGGGGGCGAAAGGAGCAGGTTTTTGGCGAGTTTTCGCCGGGATTTTGGAAGTGAGTCCGGAGCTTCGCAGGGATGCGCGGTTGTGGAGTTCTCCAAATTCGGGGTTCAAAAAGGAATACAGGCTAATACAGGTATAAGTTGGCGGCGTGTTTTTGGGGATCAGTTTTGGGTTTCATGGCTGAGGGCGTTTTTAGGCCGTTCAGGGTTTTTTGAGGTTTTTTTTGAGGCTTGGACCCTTTCAAGGTTTCCTTTTTGTGGGGCGTTTGAAGGGCTTCGTGCCTCAAGTTGAGGCTAGGGCTTGGACTCTGCTGGACCATCCAAGAGGGTTTAGGGTTTAGGGGTTTTGGGGTTGGGATATTCCCCCTTCTAAGAACGGTCCTTAGTAGGGATTGTAGTACACCCCTGTTGTAGTCCCTAATTATTCAGGACTGTTACTATCAGGGGGATCCCAAGGTTGAGGGTTGGGGTTTAGGGTTTAGGGTTGAGGGTTGAGGGTTGAGGGTTGAGGGTTGAGGGTTGAGGGTTGAGGGTTGAGGGTTGAGGGTTGAGGGTTGAGGGTTGAGGGTTGAGGGTTTAGGGCCTGGAAGATCTGGAGTCCTTTCGGTGTCTTGTTGTTTGAGATTGAGGGCCTCGGGGCTTTTCAGTGTAATGGGGTGTAGGTTTTCAGGCGTAGTTTAATTATAAGGTCACTTGAATCTGAACTTGTCAACCTTGACCCACCCCAAACCATTTAATCCTAAACTAAACCCTATAAACCCTTTTGATCCCGTAAACCCTGTAAACGCATGCCCTAGAAAGCCCTAGAACATCCCATAACCCTATAACCTCCAAAACGGCTTGAACCCCGGAACCTCAAATCGCCCGAGCCTGACCGATACAAAAACCCTAAACCCTAAACCCCAAACCCCAAACCCATAAACCCCAAACCAATAAATTCTCCCTAAACCCCAAACCCTCAACCCATAAACCCCAAACCCCAAACCCAAACCCTAAACCCCAAACCCTAAACCCCAAACCCCAAACCCTAAAACCCAAACCCTATAACCCTAATCTCTAAACCCCAAACCCTAACCCCTAAACCCCAAACCCTAAAACCCCAAGCCCTAAACCCCAAACCCTAAACCCCAAACCCTATAACCCTACTCTCTAAGCCCCTAACCCTAAACCCCAAACCCTAAACCCCAAACCGAAACCCTAAACCCTAAACCCCAAACCCTCAACCCCAAACCCTCAACCCCAAACCCTAAACCCCAAACCCCAAACCCTAAACCCCAAACCCCAAACCCTAAACCCTAAACCCTAAACCCTAAACCCTAAACCCCAAACGCTGCCGAGGAAAGGGGAAGGGCCCGGCCTTGCCCAAAGCGGAAGGCGCCGAGCCAGCTGCGGCGGAGGCCGCCGCGGACGCTCCGGCCGGTGTCTTGGTGTTGTTTGGTTATCTTTTTTGGGGGGGTTTAGGGTTTAGGGTTTAGGGTTTCGGGTTTAGGGTTTAGGTTTTAGCGTTTAGGGTTTAGGGTTTAAGGCTTTTTGGGGTTTATATGGGTTAGGAGTTGAAGGTTTAGTTTTTAGTGGTTAGGTTTTTTGGGGGCTGGGGGTGGGAGGGGGGGGCTAGGGTTAGGGATTCTGGGGGTTTAGGGGTTGGGGTTCAGGGTTTAGGGTTTTTTTTGGGTTTGGCGTTTTTCGGGTTTAGGGGTTTGGGGTTAGGGGGCTTGAGGGGTTTGGGGGTAGGATTTAGGGGTTTAGGTTGTAGGGGTTTAGGGCTTAGGGTTTTGGATTCATGTAGGGTTTAGGGTTTAATCCGAGCACCTGCTTAATTGGTGCCCCCCCCCCCCCCCCCCCCCCCCCGCAATGAGAAAGGCAGGGCGCCGCAATACTGAGACCATGGCAATGTCATGAGACTCGATTAAGAACAATAGGCTGCAGATCCCTGAGGTGCTGTAGCTTCGCAGCTCAGCAAGCAAAACAAGAAGCCTGCCGACAGATTTTTGAACCCCCCCGAAATATTTCTTTAAATGTGGTGGTACTGGCCCATACGCAAACCCCGTAATGGAAAGTAGTCTTCCGGCGGGCTTCTCGACGAAAAAAAGCTTCAAATGTGGGGTTCAGTCGCTTGTGGAAGTTAAGGTGGGTGTGGGAGGTCTGAGGGGACTTCTCAAGGAGTCGGTGTCTCATGATGGCGTGAGGGGCCTCAAACCACGCCCGTATTCAATCGTATTCACGTTATTTCCTTCTCCTTCCTTGAGAGGTTTGACACGGGAACGAGTACCCCAGAACGACCCTCCCAAGATGGGAAAATCTCCCCTAAACCCTAAACCCTAAACCCTAAACCCTAAACCCTAAACCCTAAACCCTAAACCCTAAACCCTAAACCCTTCTCAGCTCAGGAGATGCCGCGCCCAAGGCTGGCAAGGGCCCAAAGGGCCCCAAGGGCCCTGCCAAAGGCCCGTGCAAGGGCCCTCCGGCACCTGGAGGCAAAGGCCCCCCAGCGCCCGGCGGCAAAGGGCCAGGCCGGGGCTTGCCAGGTGAGCTGAGCGTTTTGTTGGGGTTTTAGGGTTTCAGGGTTTCATGTCAGGGTGTCAGGGTGTCAGGGTTTCAGGGGTTTAGGGTAAGGGAACACAACGTACTATACGCTAGAAGAGAGCTGTGTAGAGGTATTCCCAATCCCAAAGAAGGAGCTGCGCTTCAGGGCGCAGAGTTCCGGCGTGCAGGGTTCCAGGGTTCTAGCCGCCAGCTGCTCCAAAATCCGCAACGAACCCTAAACCCTAAACCCTAAACCCTAAACCCTAAACCCTAAACCCTAAACCCTAAACCCTAAACCCTAAACCCTAAACCCTAAACCCACAAAAGCCGCATCCCAGGCGGGCCCCCAGCGGCCAAGGGCGCAGGAGGCAAGGCCGGCGGCAAGCCGGGCAAAGGCGGCAAAGCCGCCCTGGAGACGAAGCCGGCGGCATCTCGGTCGCCGGATGAACCCTTGGAAGTATAAACCCTAAACCATCCTAAAGCCTAAAGCCGAAAGCCGAAAGCCTACAGCCTAAAGCCTAAAGCCTACAGCCTAAAGCCTAAAGCCTAAAGCCTAAAGCCTAAAGCCTAAAGCCTAAAGCCTAAAGCCTAAAGCCTAAAGCCTAAACCTTAACGGTCCCGAGCCCTGCTGCACCCTAGGGTTACAGAAGTGTCGCAACTCTCCGAAGGAGTTCCGAGCGAAGTTTTGGGAAGGCCCCCGAAAATCTTGAAGCATGTGTCTAGGGTTTGGGGTTCAGGGTTAGGGTTTGGGGTTTCGGGACCTCAGCCCTCTCACACGTTGCAAGGCGACAGAAGTCAAACTCCGCTAGGGTTCAGGGCCGAGACCCCCCCGCAAAGTCCCTAATTCCAAGGTGAAGCCTTCACAGCCCATGAAGCCACTGTGGTGGATTCCCGGCTGCGCTTGAGGTCTTGGTCGGACTTTGGGGTCTTTGTCCGCTTTGGGGCTGAGTGGGGTCTATACGCTTCAGGGAGGTTTTGGGGGGTTTTTGGACCGGGTTTGGAGTTTTGGGGTTGAGGAATACAATAGCGCATTTAGGGCCAGGACTCTTCCGAGCCACACGCTCTCAAACCCTATGCCCTAAACCCAGTGAGGCCTAAGCCCTAATATCACAAGACTTGCTCTCGAGGAACAAGATGGTCTTTGGCGCGCAGCTGCAGAAAGGAGACTTGGGCTGCTCTCAAACCCTAAACCGTAAACCTAAACAAGGGCACTTCTCTCAGCCCCCCAGTCCCCAAACCCCCCCCCCCCCCCCCAAGACCTCTGAACCCCACATTGCTAGCCTCCATCTGCGTTGTCTGAGGTGAGACAATCTGGGACGAGGTGCGCTCGTTCAGTGTACGCGTTCCGGGACTAGGAAGTGTTAGAGGGAGGGATTTAGCACTTACTACTATTTGCTTGAGAACCCCCAACAATCTAAGAATGATCCCTATATTCCCCATCTAAGGAAGAATATCTTCAATCTTTTTTTTTTGGGGGGGGTTCTCAAGCGAATAGTAGCTCAAAAGCCTAGTTGAGGGTGTAGGTTCCTTTGGGCTCGTGGTGAGAGCGTTCTCTTGGAGCATTCCCATCCTAAACCAGAAATCTAAACCATAAACCCTGAACCCTAAACCCCCCAACCCCAAACCCCAAACCCCAAACCCCACACCCTAAACCCTAAACCCTAAACCCTAAACCCTAAACCCTAAACACCCTAAACCCTAAACCCTGAGTCTGCAACCCCAAGCCTGCAATGCCACGCTTCAATCCCGAGGGGCTCTACTTGGTAGCCCAGTGGTGCCCTTTTGCCCCTTTTTTTGGTTCAAGGTTCCCTTATGAAGTACCCTAAACCCTAAACCCTAAACCCTAAACCCTAAACCCTAAACCCTAAACCCTAAACCCTAAACCCTAAACCCTAAATCCTAAACCCTAAACCCTAAACCGTAAACCAAGCCAGAGGTCAAGGATGAGATGGATCGGCTTCCAATAGGGGAGCTGACCCTTCGATTCAGCAAGTCGGCCGTCGCGCAGAAGGAGAAGCCGAAGAAGGAGGAAGGCAAGGTGAAGGGTTGGGGTTTAGGGTTTAGGGTTTAGGGTTTAGGGTTTAGGGTTTAGGGTTTAGGGTTTAGGGTTTAGGGTTTGGGGTTTAGGGTTTAGGGTTTAGGGTTTAGGGCTTAGGGTTTAGGGTTTAGGGTTTAGGGTTTAAGGCTCAGGGTTTTCGAAACATCGTTCGCAGTGGCTTGTTCGGGGTCCCTGCTACAGACTACAGTATCCTGTTTAGGTTGCTTAACAGGCCCCCTCCTTTGAACCCAGCCCGAAGTGGATGTAGGGTTTGTTGATGGTTTAGTTGTTGTCTTTTTGGAGCTGTATGCAGAATACTCCAAGCGAGACTCCAAAGAGGAGGGGTATGTTGGATCAAGCCCCCCTGTGGCCCAGAGTTGAAGAGACACAACGCCATCGCCCGTCAAACACGACCCTCAGCACCCTGAAGCCCTGTTGGGGTTAGATGGTCCCTTGATATAGAGGGGCTCTGAAGTTGCTGGCCCAGGGCTCCCTTTTTTTTGGGGGGGGGGGGGGGGGGGGGGGGGGGTAGCTGATTATTCAGTTTCAACCCCAAGCCCCGAGCATCCTAAACCGGGTTTAGGGTTTAGGGTTTTGGGTTTTGGGTTTTGGGTTTTGGGTTTTGAAAGAGCCCGCACCCCGAAGAGGCGAGAAGAAGAAAGAGGAGCTGGCTTTGATCCGCATCATTACCGATCCGCAGACCCTTGCCCGGGGTTTGAAGTTTCATGGGGTGTGGCTGTGGCTTGGTAGCCCAGTGGTACCCTTTACCCTTTTTTGCCCTTATAGAGTAACCAGTAACCAGCCCAAAAAGGAAACCCTTTTCATAAGATGGTTGCTGGGCTACCAGGTGTGGCTGAGGGTTTAGGAGAATATCGGAGAGTTTTTGGGGAGTTTGCAAGGAGTTGAGGGCTCCGGGCCTTTGGGGGTCTGGGGCTTAGGTGTTTTGGAGTTTAGGGTATAGGGATTTGGACCCGGCGTTTTGGAGGTTTTGGTGCGTCAGAGTTGAGATGGCTGTGTTGGGATTTGGGTTGTGCCCTTAAGAGCAGGAGAGTCCCGCGAGGGTTCGAGGTCTAGGGCTTGGGATCTAGGTGTTGGCTGAGAACTCAAAGGACGGGAACCCAGGCTGAGAGCCCAAGACCCCTAAACCCCTAAACCCCTAAGCCCTAAATCCTAAACCTTAAACCCTCGACCCCAAACCCTGAGCCCTAAACCCTAAACCCCACCTTATTCGAAACCACCACAACATCACAAGCCCAAGCCCCAAGCCCCAAGCCCCAAGCCCCAAACCCCAAGCCCCAAACCCTAAACCCTAAACCCTAAACCCTAAACCCTAAACCCTAAACCCTAAACCCTAAACCCTAAACCCCTAAACCCCTAAACCCTCAACAAGGATCGTCGTGGGCAAGGAGGCCTCACTCCGGAAGCTACCAGAGCCCAGCGAGGTGGCGAAGGCCTTTGGCGGTTTGGGGTTTCGGGCTAGGGTTTAGGGTTTAGGGTTTAGGGTTTAGGGTTTATGGTTTAGGGTTTAGGGTTTAGGGTTTAGGGTTTAGGGTTTAGGGCTTTGGGGGGCGTAGGGGTTTAGGGTTTAGGGTCTACAGGGTTTAGGGTTTAGGGATCAGGGTTTAGGATTTAGGGTTTTGGGTTTCGGGTTTAGGGTTTGGGCTTAGGGTTTACGGCTCTTTATGTTAAGCGCCCAGGTTTTCGGGGGTTTAGGGTTCAGGGCTTGGGGTTTAGGGTGTGAGGTTTAGGAGTGGTTTGGGGATTTGGTGGCTTTAGGGTTTAGGGGCTTGAAGGCTTTAGGCCCTGTGAATTTGGGCTTGCGGTTTTTCTTTGGATTCATTTTCTATTGGTTTTGGGATTTGAGTAGGGTTTTCTTCAAGGTCTCAGGGTTCAAGGGCGCATGTTGTAAGATTTAGGTTCGGGTTTTTTGGGCTTGGGGATTCCGGAGTCTTTTGTCAAGGATTTCGGGATTAGGGTTTAGGTGTAGGGTTTAGGGTATCGGGTGTAGGGTTTAGGGTTTAGGGTTTAGGGCCTTAAAGGTGTTTCAGTGGTTTGGGGGCTGCAGGCCTTGGACGAGCTCAACGACAAGATCCTGGACGTGGCGTCTCGGCCCTAAACCCTAAACCCTAAACCCTAAACCCTAAACCCTAAACCCTACGGACCTTAAGCCGCCCTGGACACTTATGGAGGTCGCAAGCCTCACCAAGGCTCGACCGACCAGCCCTTCAACCCCAAAAGCCCGAAGCTCCCAAGGGTATAGGGTTTAGGGTTTAGGGTTTAGGGTTTAGGGTTTAGGGTTTAGGGTTTAGGTTTAGGGTTTAGGGTTTAGGGTTTAGGGTTTAGGGTTTAGGGTTTAGGGTTTAGGGTTTAGGGTTTAGGGTTTAGGGTTTAGGGTTAGGGGTGTAGCGATACCGTGTTTTTCGACTCCTTAGGGTTTATGCTTGGTTTATGATTTGTCATACTATGAACCCACGGGGATCCACTGAACCGTAGTATTCTTAGGGGGTTCGACAACCCCCCCCCCCCCCCGCCCCCAGGCCCTAAAACCCCGAAACCCGAAGACCCTAAACCCTAAAACCCTAAGACCCTAATGTTTTTGTGTTTTGGGATTTGGGGTTTAGGGTATAGGGTTAAGGGTTTAGGGCTAGCCCTAAACCCTAAACCCTAAACCCTAAACCCTAAACCCTAAACCCTAAACCCTAAACCCTAAACCCTAAGACCCTAAGACCCTAAGACCCTAGAAGCCTAAGCCCCGTGCCCTGCCCACCCAGGAGATGCTTCAGGTGGTCAAGGACAACGCCTGCCCCAACCCGGCCCAGCTGAAGGAGCTGCAAGAGGCCGCCCAAGATGCGGAAGGGTTTAGGGTTTAGGGTTTAGGGTTTAGGGTTTAGGGGTTTAGGGTTTGGGGTTTGGGGGTTTAGGGTTTGGGGTTTGGGGGTTTAGGGGTTTGGGGTTTAGGGCTTTGGGTTAGTTTAGGGTCCCTGAAAGCCAGAAAGCCCCATAGGCCCCAAAGCCCTGCAGCCCACATGCGACAACCCGACCTGAACCCTGAACCCTGAACCCTGAACCCTGAACCCTGAACCCTACACCACTCCAACGCCTAAAGACTTTCACCCTAAACCCCTGAGCCCCTTCACCCCACACCCCGAATTCAGGGTTCAGGGTTTCGAAGTCCAGCCAGGCGCGGCAGAAGAACCCCAATGTGCCCTTGGCCCTGCCGGAGAGCTCCTGAGCTGGCGTGCTAGGATCCCGGACCCTAAGCCCCAAAGCTTCATAGCCCCTAAAACCCTAAACCCACAAGGCCCTCGTAGCCCTAAACCCTCAACACTAGAAGCCGTAGACCCTAGACCCGAGTTAGCCCTAAATCCCAAACCTTAATCGCCCAAAACCCCGAACAAAGTTGAGGGTTTAGGGATTTAGGGGGCTCAACAACCAAACCTAAGATTCCTCAGACCTGAAGCGGCTTAGTCTCGGCCATGGATGTAGGGCTTACGGTCCGAGACGCCTTCTTCTCCACCCTAATCCCTAAACCCTAAACGCTCTATAAGCCCCAAGCCCCAAGCCTCAAACCTTACTGGCAAAGCCTTAAACTCCAAAACGCTTAGGATTCACCCTCAGCCCGAAACTCTCGGTTGGGGCGCGCTCCACCCCATAACCGTGTCAGCCCAGTGGTACCCTTTTCTTCTTATTTTTTTGGTTGGCGGTTTTCTTATAAAGTAACCAACTTCAACAAGAAGTTTAGGGTTTAGGGTTTAGGGTTTAGGGTTTGGGCTACAAAGCAGAACTGCGCCCGAGGCTTCATGTGGGTGATTGGGCACATGCCCGCCTACCAGCAGCGGATCGACGTCTGGAGCTTCGCCCAGTCCTACCCCGACTCTTCGAGATGGGAAGTCAGGTTCGCTAGGGTTTAGGGTTTAGGGTTTAGGGTTTAGGGTTTAGGGTTTAGGGTTTAGGGTTTAGGGTTTAGGGTTTAGGGTTTGGGGGTTAGAGGGTTTAGGGTTTAGGGCTTAGAGTACGTTACTATACGAGAAGATAGTTGTTAAGCTACCATATAGCTATACTATGGTAACTCAGTTCAAAGTCCCCAACAAGAATCCCATTGTTTCTTTTGTGTTCTGGATCCCTGTCCTGCAGTCTTTGCAAGGGTTGAAGGGTGTCGGGTAAGGGTTTTCCGTTGTTCCCCCTTATACTGACAGTCCTTCAGAGGGAAATAAATAGGGGGCACTGAAATCCCAATTAAGGGCTGTTAGTATAAGGGGGAACACCCCTGCCAAGGAACAGCATGCGTCCTACGACGGGGCGCTCAAGGACTTTCTCTCCGTGGTGGAATGCTTCTGGGCCCAGTGGTTCCCCTTTTGCCCTTTGTTTTTGGCTCCAGGTTCCCTCTTGAAGTAATCAGCCCCAAAAGGGTACCCTCATCCTAAACCCTAAACCCTAAACCCCAAACCCCAGACCCTAAACCCGAAACCCGAAACCCGAAACCCTAAACCCTAAACCCCCACATTCTGGAGTTCCTGGGCTACCAAGGCTTTCAGGAGTCGGAGGTGCTTCCGCACTTGCTGGGCATCATCTTGGCCGTGGGCAACTACCTGAACGGGGGCACCAACCGGGGGCAGGCCGGCTTCGTCTCCAAGGGCAGCCAGGGCACCCGAAACCCCTAGAACCCTAGAATGGTTGAACACCCGAAGCCGTAAAACCCTAGAGTCCTAACCCCCCAAGATCCTAAACCCCGCAGTGCACGCATGAACGAAGTCACTAAACGTACTAAAAGCCTTATAAAATCATATTAACATGCAAGTGTTTTTTGTGTTGACTGCCTCATTCATAGTGCCCCTTTAATAGCATTATTTTAATGCAAACTTGTGTGCGATTACAATAATAGTATTAAATTAGGGGCACGAATGAACGCAGCAAAGCCACCACTGACAAGTTACCGCATTAAAGGACTCATTAAAAGCCCCGTCATTATCATGCTAATAATACAGTATCGTGAAGACAGAACCCTGAAACGCAACCCTACGACACTAGACTCCGAAAACAGCCGCTAGAAGTTTCGTTTCCCCAAGTTTCAGGCGGCCCTAAGCCCTAAAACCCTGGACCCTGCGAAGTTTCAAGCCCTCAAGACTTCAAGAGCACCCATTTCCCCTGCAGTTTCAGGCTGATGCCTTCGACTTAGAGACTGGGTTTTGGAGTACTATACTTTAATCCTTTTTTTTTGGTACTGGGTTCCTCTTATAGCTACTTATACCTAAAAAGTGTATACTTTTTTTCCAGGGTCTACTCCAAAGCTAAGGAGACCTTTGGCAAACTGGAGGGAATCAAGGATGCGACGGGGAAGGATGTGAGGCGCTGGAGCCTGCAGTGATTTTTGTAGGATTTTTTAAACCCACGGTTTAAGGTTTAGGGTTTAGGGTTTAGGGTTTAGGGTTTAGGGTAACCCGAAACCCTAAACCCTAAACTTTGGGCTTCGGAAAGGGCGGGGGAGGGGGTGGGTTTTGGGCTTCCCTGAACCCTAAACCCTAAACCCCATAAACCCTTAACTGGGGCACCAGGCTCTCCATCGTGTTGATGTTGTCATCTTTCTCGGCTGCATCCCCCCCCCCCCCCGGTCTCGTGAGGCACTTCATCTTCGACCTCTTCTTGAATCAGATGACGGAGCAAGCGAACACTTTCCTTGAGGAGATCACCCCCTGCATGGTGAACATCAATCGTCGCATTGCCAAGGACCGCAAGCCCAAAAACCCCAAGCCGTAAAAAAAACTCGAAGCCCTACCCCCCCACCAACCCAGCACCACTGAACCCCGCAGCACCCCGAAAACTGCAGAAGGGCCTGCCATTGGGGCCTGCGTTTTTCCTTCCATATGTCGATGTAAACATCTTTCGCTTGGGTGTGTTTGCGGGTTTCGTAGGTCTCGAAAAATATTGAGGCCAAGACCGCCTTCAAACCTAAACCCTAAACCCTAAACCCTAAAACCCTAGCACAAGAGTCCTTGGAGCCTTGAGGGTTCAAAAGAGGAAGCCAAACCCGAAACCCTAAACCCTAAACCCTAAACCCTTGCTCAGAGGACTCTGACGGGGTGGAGAAGCTGGACAAGTCGGCCAGGATCGTCTTTGAGGATTCTGGGTTGATGTTGGGGTTTAGGGTTTAGGGTTCAGGGTTTGGGGTTCAGGGTTTGGGGTTTGGGGTTTAGGGTTTAGGGTATAGGGGGTTACCCCAAGTTCAGGGCTTTTTTGGTCCCCAAGGTACGTTCCCCAAACAGCAACGCCCTGAGTATGTTGTTCTTTGGGATCCGAAGTATCGACCCTAATTTTCTACAGTGTATATAAGGTTATATGAGAATATGGTTCTCTAAATTGGGGTCCTCTTTTGGGTTACCCTGTATAGTATGAGGGGCGGCCTTATAAGAGTGGCCCCGAAAGGGGACCATAATTTAGGGAAAGGGACCCGAATTCAAGGCCCACACTCGGCTTAGAAGCCAAGGATTTCGACATGTGCGTCAATGCCCTGCACGGAGAGTTCGTGGCAAAGCACGAAACGATGCAGCGCCTCGGGTGCGTGGCTAGGGTTTGGGGTTTAGGGATTAGGGAATAGGGCTTGGGGGTTTCAATGAAGCAGGGTTACTTTTTGCAATCCTGGCCGTTTTTGGTGACCAAAGGGGCTATGATTTAGCGACTTCCACATCCGTAACCCTCCCTGAACCGCAAGCCCCACCCGACTTGCAGTTGCACATGCACGCCCATGAACCCTGAACCCCCAAGCTTGCATCCACAGCTTCCGGCGGACCCTTTGTGGGTACGCTCAAGATCACCCAAAACCCAAACCCTAAACCCTAAACCCTGAACCCTAAATCCACACCCCCCGCAGGCGCATGTATGTTAGCTAGGGTGGGCAAGCCTACACCTTTGGGGTTTAGGGTTTAGGGTTTAGGGTTTAAGGTTTAAGGTTTAGGGTTTAGGGTTTAGGGTTTAGGGTTTAGGGCTGGCTCAGGATGATCCTGTCCTACTTCGAGGATCCCGCCGACCCCTTCAAGATGCAGATGCCGGCCATCTACTCAGAGGCAGGGCTGTTAGGGTTTAGGGTTTAGGGTTTAGGGTTTAGGGTTTAGGGTTTAGGGCTATTGGTTTAGAGTTCAGGTTTTAGGGTTTAGGGCTGGGGGAGGTTAGGGCTTGGGGAGTTTAGGGCATAGGGTCTGGGACTGCTGCTGCTGCTGCTGCTTTTGCTACTGCTACTGCCAAGTCCTCCTGCTTATTTGGTGGCACTGCTTCTTTTCCAACTACCATTCCCTAAGCCCTCAACCCAAAAACAAAACTGCAAACCCCAAACCCTAGACCCTAGACCCTAAACCCTAAACCCTAAACCCTAAAAACCCTAAACCCTAGACCCTAGACCCTAAACCCTAAACCCGAAACCCGAAACCCTAAGCCCTAAGCCCTAAACCCTAAACCCTAAACCCTACAAACCCTATAAACCCTAAACTCTATAAGCCCTGAACCTCAGGCAAAAGAGAAGCTGGATGCACTCCTGACGCTGAAAGACACGGCCAAGGATGGGGAGTGCTGGAAGCCGTAGATGGGGGCAACCCTAAACCCTAAACCCTAAACCCTAAACCCTAAACCCTAAACCCTAAACCCTAAACCCCTTGCCTTCAGGGTAGAAAGGGTGTTGGGCTCAGTTGATGCGGTGAACTGCCCCCCCCGCTTGCCCCATCCCTTACAAAAACCTTGTGAACCCGAAGCCCTACCAGCCTTAACTCTCTCGCTCGCTCGCTCGCTCTGCTTCACTCAAGCACGCCTTAAACCCGCGGCCCATCCCTTGATCGCTGCAGGAGAAGTACGAAGCTCGTCTGCAGGGAGAGAGAGATTGCAAGGAGGGCACCTCCTTACCATGCTAACTGCACTTCAGGGACGTCTATCCCTGAGTTAGAGTAACCATCACCCAACGTAGGGCCCTCAGCCGTCCTTGTAGTTGGAACTTCCACAGGCTGGAACTACGCCTAAACCCTAAACCCTAAACCCTAAACCCTCAACTCTGAACTAGTTGGCAGGGTATGGGGGGTTGAGGTTTATGTTATGCAGATATGGAGTTTGGGAGGATGGAACGACTCAATCAAGTCCCTCCTGAGTCGCCTCTGAGGTTCCGATTCTCAAACGGAGCTTTGTGTTTAGTTTAGGTCACCCTAGAGAAGTCCCGATCTGAAGATCTCATGTGACAACCCTAAGCCCCCAACCCAAAACCCTAAACCCTAAACCCCAAACCCCAAACCCTAGACCCTAAGCCCTAAACGCAGTTTCGAAGGAAGCTGAACCTCGAAACAGCGTTGAGGGGTTTTTGGGGGCGTCTTGAGATGAAGGGCCCCTGCTCAAACCCTGAATCCGCTCAGGCTCAGCTGCTGAAGTGGTTCAAAATCCAATCCATGAAGAGCAGCGACTTCTGTGTGCTCTGGGACAACTTGATGGTTCCATCCAACCTGATCCTCAATGCCGACATGAAGATGAAGAAGGACGGAAAATGCACCCGAGCCCCTCTAAACTCCTGTGGGCTCATTCTTGCAACCCTAAACCCTAAACCCTAAACCCTAAACCCTAAACCGATTCATCCAGAGCCTTGATTGGGGGGTTTTCCTGAGTCTCTAGATCTTCAGGTAGCCGAGAAGGTACGCTTTTGCAGCCAAATCAGCCCCCCCAAAGTTCATCCAGCTTTGGTGCCTTCAATTTTGAACTGGCTTTAGGGTTTAGGGTTTAGGGTTTAGGGGCTGGAACTGGTGTGGCCTTATCTAGGGTACGTACTCAGAGGTACCCGCAAGTCCCCAATTTCCCGGTTAAGCAGCAAACTTCATTTTCCATGAACCGAACCTTCGCGTAAATGTTACACCACAAAATCCTAAACTCTCAGACTCCCTGCCCCCTGGAAGAACCCTTATCCCCAAACCAAACCCCAAACCCCAAACCCCAAACCCCAAACCCCAAACCCCCACACCCCGAACCCTAAACCCCAAACCCTAAACCCCAAACCCTAAACCCTAAACCCCAAACCCTAAACCCTAAACCCTAAACCCCGACAGGACTTCATGATCCCAACCTTCTGCCAAAACAAGCCCTTCACGGCCGCCGCTCGCCGGCATGTGAAGCAAGCGACATATATATATATATATATATTACTGTTTTTGGTGAGTGTATGTAAGGTTCCTGTCTAGTCTTGGTGAGCGTATATATTGGGTGTCCTATTGGGGATACAAGAAATGTAAACCCTACTTCATGTGAAGCTCTGGGTGCCTGCAAAGACCAAGCCACGGGGCGTTTAGGGTTTGGGGTTTGGGGTTTAGGGTTTAGGGTTTAGGGTTTAGGGTTTGGAGTTTAGGGGTTTAGGGTTTGTGGTTTGGGCTTTAGGGTTAGGAGGGTTTAGGGTTTAGGGTTTGGGTTTTAGGGTTTGGGGTTTAGGGTTTGGGGTTTAGGGTTTGGGGTTCAGGTTTTGGGGTTTAGGTGTGTGGTTTTGGCTTTAGGAGGGTTTGGGGTTTGGGGTTTGGGGTTTGGGGTTTGGGGTTTGGGGTTTGGGTTTTTGGTTTAGGGTTTAGGGTTGATGAGCCCGAAAAGGGTTCTAGGGTTTCCAGTTCTAGGGTTTCAGGTTTATAGGGTTAAGATGCTTCAGGAATTGAAGGTAAGGATTTGGGGTTTAGGGTCTGAGGTGTTGTAAGAGGTGCTGTTTCGCCGGTTGTTTTGTGTGTGTTATTTAGGGCGTTGGGGTTTGCACGGTGGAGGGTTTTTTAAAATTTTTTGGGGCTCGGGGGTTCTATGTTCAGTTGAAGGCGTTCAGGGTTCTCTAGGGTTCAGGGTTGAGAGGTTGGGTATTCAGGCCTTTGGGGTTTTCAGGGTTTCATGACTTCGGGTTCAGGGTTTACGGCCTATGGTGTTGTGTTCAGGGTTTTCGCGCTTAGCCCTCTCGGCTGCCTTGCATTCCAGGGGTGGGCTCAACCCTTTTTGGGGTTTTGGGGCTCGAGTTTGGGGCTCAGGACAAATCAAGGTAAGTCTGGTGCTTGAGCTTGGGTCTGGAGCTTAGGATTTGAGTTCAGGGTTCAGGGTTCAGGGTTCAGGGTTCAGGGTTTAGGGTTTAGGGTTTAGGGTTTAGGGTTTAGGGTTTAGGGTTTAGGGTTTAGGGTTTAGGGTTTAGGGGTGCGAGTCTCGCTTTCAGCCAGGATGAGCTTCAAATCCTGTGGCAGTTCAAGGACCGGAATCTACAAGGTGTTCCACCAAGCCCCAAGCCCTGAACCCTGAGAGCGTCCCCAACCCCATGCGGCCTTAGGCCTTAAGCTGGGGGGGTTTAGGGTTTAGGGTTTAGGGTTTAGGGTTTAGGGTTTAGGGTTTAGGGTTTAGGGTTTAGGGTTTAGGGTTTAGGGCATTTGAGTTTGGGATATGGGGTCGGGGCCACGAAGACGCTGGCCAAACCTTCAAGCCGCACCGGCTTCAAAGGAAACAGAGCGCCCCCAAAACAAAGCACCCTAAAACCCGACACCCTGAAGCCTCAACCCCTAAGCCCCAAAACCTCAACCCCAAACCCTGGACCCCTATTACCTTCAGCTGCAGACACACGCCCGCAACAGAGATTATAGGGTTTCGAAACCCTAAACCCTAAACCCTGAAGAAACCCTAAACCCTTAACCCTAAACCCTAAACCCTAAACCCTAAACCCTAAACCCTAAACCCTAAACCCTAAACCCTAAACCCTAAACCCTAAACCCTAAACCCTAAACCCTAAACCCTAAACCCTAACAAAAACCCTCCCTTAAGAAGCCTATAAAGAGAGGAGTTCGACGCCAAGTCGAAGCTCCCCAAGAAGAAGGCAGGGCAGCGCCGCCGCCTGGGGCCCAAAGCAAGAGTTTCTGGCACTTCAGGGCTAGGGTTTAGGGTTTAGGGTTTAGGGTCTAGGGTTTAGGGTTTAGGGTTTAGGGTTTAGGGTTTAGGGTTTAGGTTTGTAGGGTTTGGCTGTGGGACTTGCTTGCTGGTTCTTAGTAGGGAATGAGGGAATGAGGCACCCTAAATGTATCCCCCGAAAAGATACCCTTCATTACGGGATGTTGTAGGGCACTTACTTCACCCCATTCCCTTACGAAGAACCAGCGGGCTTTGGGGTTCATAGGGTTTTGGGTTGAGGCTTCCTTCCTAGGGTTCGAATTCAGGAGGTTCAGGGCTCAGGGTTTAGGGTCTATGGGGTTTGTAGGGCTACCAGAGTTCGTAAGGTTTACGGTTTAGGGTTTCAGGGCTTTCGGGGTGTTTGGGTGGGGGGGCAGTCGCGGTTCCTTAGATTTTATGGTAGGGGTGTTGGCCTCTTGGGTGTTCGAGAGTTTGGGGGCTTCACGGGTTTTGGGACCTGGCTTTCGGGTTTAGGGTTTGGGGTCAAGGGTTCCCTAAACCCTACACCCTAAACCCTAAACGCTGGGCATGTTTCCGTTCCTGGGTTTAGGGCTTGGGGGGGGGGGGGTTTAAGGCTTGCAGTAGGGGGTCGGGAATTCCAAGAGTCCTTGAAACTCCGAGACCCTAAACACCCAGAGGCCCCAAACCCCAAAAACCCAAAGCCCTCAAACCCTAAACCCTAAAGCTCCCAAACTCCCACCCCCACCCCCATCCCCCCACCCTCCACACACACAAAAAAAAAAACACGAAAAAACAAAGGCAAACTTACACAAGCCTCAACCGCCGCAAAAGACCAAATAAAGCCCAAGCCCTCCAAGGCCCCAAAGAAGAACGAGCCAAGTCCTATGAGCCCTACTACAACCCCCCTCCCACCCAGAAAACAAACAACACACAAATGGAAAGTTCAACAAATAGCAGAACTATGTGCCCGACAAGCTTCAGAAAGCAGCAAGAGCACGTAAAACAAAGATGCTAAACTCCTTCGAAGAACACCGCATAAGCCCTAAACCCTAAATCCTAAACCCTAAGCCCTACACCAAAAAAAACTTGTGAGCTCTTAGGCCGAAGATTCTCGCAGCGCCTGCGGGACGCACAAGCCGCCGTGCTTCGCCTCGACGGGTCGAGGGCTTTAGGGATCTTTAGGAATTGTTTGGGGTTTAGGGTTCAGGGTTTGGGGTATGGGGTTTAGGGTTTAGGGTTTAGGGTTTGGGGCTGCTTTTGGGGATATTTAGGGTGTAGGGCTTCGGGGCTTAAGGTCTTTGGGGGGGGGGGGGGGGATGTTAGGCGGTTCTTTTGGGGATGTTTAGGGTGTAGGGCTTATAGGGATCTTTAGGAACGTTTGGGGCTGCTTTGGGGATACTTAAGGTGTAGGGCTTAGGGATCTGTAGGATGTTTGGGGTGTTTAGGGATGTTTGGGGGTGTTCAGCCGTATGGGGGTGTTTGGGGCTTAGGGTTCGGGGTTCAGGGCTTTGGAGTATTGTGGTGCTCAGGGCTTTGGGGTACTGTGATGTTAGGAGTTTGGGAGTCTTTTTTCAACACCCAAGCCTTTGGGCTTCAAGCGGGGTTGGGATTGAATCAGGGATGGAGAATGCCACCCTAAACCCTAAACCCCAAACCCCAAACCCCAAACCCCAAACCCCAAACCCTAAACCCTAAACCCTAAACCCTAAACCCTAAACTCTCACACTCTAAGCAAGCCGGCGTTCACACAGCCTCCGGCCTAGGCCGACAAGGCCTCAGCGGAGGGCCAGGCGCCCCCAGCACCGGGGGGCGCGCCCGGAGGGGCGCCGGCCGGAGGTGCGGGTTTAGGGTTTAGGGTTTAGGGTTTCGGGTTTAGGGTTTAGGGTTTAGGGTTTATAGGGTTTAAGGTTTGGAGGTTTACGGGTTTTAGGGGTTTAGGGTTTAGGGGGTTAAGGGTTAATTAAGGCTTAAGGGGGCTTAGTTCTTGGAGTCTAGGGGCTTCAGGGGTTTGGGGTGCGATCAAGGAGAGCCTCTTTGATGGGCGTTTGAGGGTGCAGCCCTTCCACCTGGAGACCCTAAACTCTACAGCCTGTAAGGGTTTGAGGGCGCAGGGCAGTTGAGGGTTTAGGATTTAGGGTTTAGGGTTTAGGGTTTAGGGTTTAGGGTTTAGGGCAATGTAGGGTTTCGGCTGTCTGAAGCCCAGGGACATGTCCCGAGTTGGGGGCATTAGGGCCGGTTTTTGGGGCGTCGTTGTCTTACCCCCCTGTTCTACACATGACTTAATCTTGGGGTACGTAGTTGCGGTCCCTGAATATGGTCCTGACCTTCTTGAAAGAGTTCTTCTGATGTACGAGCCCTTGCGGCTATATAGTGTGTATAAAGGGTGAACAAGGGTTCCCATATTAAGGGACCATGCAAGTACCCCAAGAATTTAATGCATAAGGGCTTCAGGAGGAGTTTGTGGGTTAGGGTCTACGAAGCCCCAAAGACGGCCGACATCTTACCTGAGTGCCAGGCAAGGCGAAGGGAAAGCTGCCTCCACCTGGCAAGGGAAAGCCGCTTGGCTTGATTCAACCCTAAACCCTAAACCCTAAACCCTAAACCCTAAAACCCTAAACCTTGAACCCCGAACCCTACACCCTAGAGAGGCCTGCACAGGGCTTCACTAGTGCTTGCGGACTTTTCTTGAGGCGGCCGGATTAACGCCGCAACTAACTTGCCAGGTGAAGAAGAGATGCTCAGGGTTGGGGGATCTTCGGGTTGAGGCCCTTAATTCGGGTTGACAGGGTTTCTGCGCTAAAACCTAAACCCCAAACCTCAGTTTAGCTTTATAGATTTGAGGGGCCCTCCATCCCTATGCTCCTACCCTCCCGAAGTGACCAGAGCCCTCAAAGCAAAAACGCTTCCGGCAGTCCCCCTAAAGGACCCCCTTTGAAATCTAAACCCTCGTCTTCACCCTTGAAATTAGGGGGTTTCCGACATTAGGGGTGCCTTATTTAGGTCCTTATTATAAGGTAATCCTACTATTTGGGGATCTAGATTGGTATTTTCGCAAACCCTCCAAATTCACATCGCGCAAAGGGAACCCTATACCCTAAACCCTAATTCCTAAACCCTAAACCCTAAACCCTAAACCCTAAACGCTAAACTCTGAAGCGCTCCACCACAAACCCGAGGAAGGGCCCTGCTCCTGCAGCCCCCGCCGCAGAGACACAAACGGAGGCCCCTGCGGCCACGGCCGCGCCCTTGGAAGTGTCTGGGTTTCGGGTTTAGGGTTTAGGGTTTCGGGTTTAGGGTTTAGGGTTTAGGACGAAGGGTTTAGGGTGTAGGGTTTAGGGTTGTGGGGGACTCTCGAAAAACCTACAGTTTTATGGGGTATACCCTACGAATTAAGGGGTATCTACTACCTAAACTGTAGGTAGATAGAGTCCCAGGATCGGTTGTGGGTGACAAGCTTAAGGGTTTAGGGTTTAGGGTTTAAGGTTTAGGGTTTAGGGTTTCGAGTTAGTGGAAGGTCCAATTTCAAGGTTTGAGGAGGTTTAGGAGATGGGGGGTGGGGGGCATTCAATATTATCGGGTAGGAGGGGGTTAATGATACTCCCCAAAGCACGCATGAAGGTCTTGTTTGTTTGAGGAGCGCGGGCCATTCGGGATTCATGGCTTGAGATTTGGCACGGAAACAGGCCCTAGAAACCCCAAACCCAAATTATTATCTAGGTGGGCTCCTAGGATATGTTGTATTTTCCCTTGTTGGGTTTAAGAGAATCATATTTAGAACATTTTTTCAAAAGGTTGTAAGGGCCATCCTAGTTATTGCTTACGGCGCGATTACCGACCCCGCCGAATACAGATGTTTCTGCGGTTTGGGATTGACGGCTTCGGTTTCGAGTTGACGGATGTTACTTGGGAGGGGGGGAGGGGGGCGGGGGGGGGGGGGGGGGGGGGGGGGGGGGGGGTGTGCAGCTTAAATAGGGTCTATTTGGAAGCTGGGAATCGTATTTACAAGAGGAAAACAGGCCCCAAAACGTATACTTATTCACAAGAGCCGTGTTCCAAATAGACCCTATTTTAGGTCCTGTAGGGTTGCACAGACAGAATTTAATTCATTAAATTCCTTAATTTCCACTTTCCCCCTGGAATTTAATGAATTTAATGAATTAATTCAATTAATTTATTTATTTCCAAAGGGGGGGGGTGGAATTAATTGAATTAGTTGAATTAATTGAATTAATTGAATTAATTGAATTAATTGAACCCCCCCTTTGGAAATAAATGAATTAATGAATTAATTGAATTAATTGAATTAATTGAATTAATTGAATTAATTGAATTAATTGAATTAATTGAATTAATTGAATTAATTGAATTAATTGAATTAATTGGAATTAATTCAATTAATTCAATTAATTCCACCTCCCCTTTGGAAATAAATGAATTAATTGAATTAATTGAATTAGTTGAATTATTTCGATTAATTCAATTAATTCAATTAATTCAATTAATTCATTTATTTCCAAATGGGGGGGATTCCCCAGCCCCCACCCCTCCCCCCCCTTTGGAAATAAATGAATTAATTGAATTAATTGAATTAATTCAATTAATTCAATTAATTCAATTAATTCAATTAATTCATTTATTTCCAAAGGGGGGGTGGAATTAATTGAATTAATTGAATTAATTAATTAATTGAATTAATTGAATTAATGCAATTAATTCAATTAATTCAATTAATTCAATTAATTCATTTATTTCCAAATGGGGGGGATTCCCCAGACCCCACCCCCCAGCTCGATTTGGCCAAATTTTGCCCGGAGGCTGCCCGGCAAAATTTGGCCAAATCGAGCCGCGCCTTTCTGGAGGCCCGAAATTATTTAAACTATCGCGGCTCGATTTGGCCAAGTTTTGCCGGGCAGCCTCCGGGCAAAATTTGGCCAAATCGAGCCACGCATTTCTCATCGCATACGAAGGGCAGCCCGATTTGGCCAAATTTTGCCCGGAAGCTGCCCGGCAAAATTTGGCCAAATCGAGCCGCGATAGTTTAAAAATTTCGGGCCTTCAGAAAGGCGCGGCCCGATTTTGCCAAATTTTGCCCAGAGGCTGCCCGGCAAAATTTGGCCAAATCGAGCCGCGC